TTTATTTATTTATTTTTTTATTTTTTTATTTTTTTTTTTTTTTATTTTATTTTTTATTTTTTTACCCCCCCCCTTATTTTATTTTTTTAATTTTTTCCTTTTTTTTTATTATTTATTTTTTTTTTTTTTTTTTTATTTTTTATTTTATATTTTTTACTAATTATTTTTTTTTTTTTTTTTTTTTTTTTTTTTTTTTTTTTTTTTCTTTTTTTTCATTTTTAATTTTTTTTATTTTTTTTTTTTTAATTATTTTTTTATTTATATTTCTTTATTTTATTCTATTTTACTTTATTTTTTTTTTTTTATATTATTTTTTATTTACTTTTTTATTTTATTTATATTTTTATATTTTATTTTACTTATTTTTTTTATTTTTTAATTTTTATTTGTGTTTTTTTCTTTTTAAATTTTTTTTATTTTTCATTTTTTTTTGTTAATTTTATTTTTTATTTTTTTTGTTTTTTTTTTTTTTAATTGTTACTTTTTTTTTTTTTTTTTTTTTTTTTTTTTTTTTTTATTTTTTTTATTTTTTTTTTTTTTTTTTCTTTTTTTATTTTTAATTTATTTTTTTTTTTTTTTTTTTTTTTTTTTATTATTTTTTTTTTTTTATTTTTATAACTTTTTTTTTTATTTATATTTTTTTTTTTATTTTTTATTTATCTTTTTTTTTTTTTTTTTTTTTTTTTATTTATTTTTTTGTTTTTTTTTTTTTTATTTTTTTTTTTAATTTTTTTTTTATTTATTTTTTTTTTTTTTTTTTAAACTCTTCTAGTCACGTCTTCTCACTATAATTCGGATAATTTTCTTACAAAGCTGGCCACTACTGAGTACATTGTAAAATTTTCCATTTGTTAACTTATGAAGTTAGACACTAACACCTGTCGAACACCGGCCCAGTAGTCTAGAGTTTAAGCGTTCACGCACATGACTAAAGTCTCTGGAATCGATCAGTGAGAGTAGTAGCTGTAGCTGTGGATGCGTACTGCCACTAATGAATCCCATACCTGCATGAAACTTTAAAATGAAAAATCCATTATATCTCTCTTAATAGATTGATTAATTTGAAGTCAGTTTAAAACTGATAACAAAACACTCTGCTCTACAACATTGTTTCCTTTTAAATAAAAGTTTTTACTTTCACAAGATCTGATGCATCATTTTGTACACAATTAAATGACCTATATTTGTTGAGAAATACACGCAAATCTAATCAGTAATTTGTTTTAATAAAATGTTTCAATCTAATTCATTGTATTGTATTTTTTGGGATGTTGTTGGCGGATAGAATGATGTTGTTCTTTTGTGTTTTTTGTGTCGTCTTTTAAACTGTCTATCAATTATTTAGATAAAAAGCATGAATTATTTCAATCTATTATTGTTAAAAACAAAAGCTGACTTATACACAGTATCACATTGATCATTGATTGATCAAGGAGATTGAATTTATCTGATATTTGTTCAATGGAAATTGAACCAACCACCTTTTGTAAAAGTAGAGCAACATTTCTAAAGAAAAACTAATTTTATCGTGCGATTGTTAAGTATATTTTAATTAAGACTGTGAATAAAATGACGTCGGTAGTTACAAGTATTGACCATCGACCTGCATTCAAGTTCCACGCAATGGTTGTTCGATCTTCTCATATCTGTCTCCGTTTTTCAGTGTAATGTATTTTTCACTCTTCCTCATTTTCATTGGCCCGGGAGGGCTTGGCCTGGTGATGCAGTTCGATGCTTCTCTCAATGTGTGTTCTATCCGCTTACAGAGCTTCTTTGTCTGCTGGAATTTTTGTTCGTTGTCTCCCATAGTAGGTTATTTCTGATGGTTTCTGGATCCAAAGTAGTCACTGTAGACAACTGTATCTTTCGGATGATGGATTTTGTAGTTTCCGCAAGTTTTCGCCTCATACATTAGAACTGTGTTGAAATTTCTATTGAAAATTGTGACTTTGCTGTTGATTGATAGTTGTTTTGAGTTGCAGATGTTGTTCAATTTTAGAAATGCTGTCCTTGCTTTGATGATTCACGCTTTCATATTTGCATCCGCTCCACCTTGTTCATCAATGATGCTGACGTAAACCAGAAAAAGTCATTCACTGATTACTTTACCAATAAATAAATATAATGTGTTCTACTACTTCAGAGTACTATTTGAGTAGTATGTTACAAGTAATATATTTCACCTTGAACATATCTAACATAGTTAGATATTAACACTGTTGGAAGCCAGCTGGTCAAGTAGTTTGAAGGTACGGAGTTTGCGCCCATGTCCATAGGTCCTGGGTTCGAATCCCATGAGGTGCAGGAGTCGTGGATGACTAGTCCCATACCAGGAAGAAACAGGCATCTTTCAGTGCTTTCAAGTTTTTAATGATGTAGTCTAACAATGATTTCAACGTGTAATAATTGTACTGTTGAATGAAGGAAGCTTAAAATCCCCCTTTGGCTAATAATCATTAAAATAAACTGTGTACAATCTCTTCTTATCATCATAATAGTTTATATTTATATGAGGACATAGGCGAGTCTTATAAATTATTATTTTAAGTGCTAAATAATTACTTTGGTTAGGTCTTTAAAGAAAATTAAATTAAATTAAATTAACTGAACTCAAGGTGTATTTAGTTCATTTGAAAAAGTACTTCAATTTTTGTGGTTATTCAATGTGATTGAATGCAGATCGTTGTTATGTGCATTCAATTCAATGTTTCAATTGCATCGTTATTTTATTTATTTAACGCCCTTTATTTTAATTAAAGGTTAATTAAGTTAATTAGTTTATAAATCATTTCTTATATTGACCATTCAATGCCTAAGTGGTCTAGTGGAAGTTCAATAGTCCTCAGTGTAAATCCTGTCAGTGGACACAGGAATCGTGAATGCGCATTGCCATTGATGAGTTTACATAGAAAGACGAGACGGCGGTCTTTCAATGCTTCCAAGGTTTTGGTATTGATGTGATCTAACAATGATTGGATTCAGGTTTAGTGAAGTAAATGGAACTTAGGTGTATAAAATCTAACTTTATTATCGAGATTACATCAGAGAGAATATTTTGTATTGAGACAATGTCAAAATGAGGCAAACAGACGCATCCGGTTTCGAATAGTGAATATTTACCGAAAAGTGAAACAGGAATGACACAGGGAAAGGTTTTCAGAATAGATTAAAGTGCTTAGATAGTTTAAAATAATCTGAGTGACTAAAATCTGGATAGATCCGGGGTTTCATCGACGTTATTGACGCTTATAATCAGCTCTGATTGTTAATGCCTAACGATAAAAGTAGAAATCTTTATTATTAATAATTTTTATCACTCAAATAATGATGTTTTCTTAATCATACTGTGGTGCGCGCTACTTATAAGTAGTATATGAGGTGAGTGAAATTGTAATGTCTGGCAGCAGAGGATGAGGGAAGATCAAGAAAGGAAGATTGGGAACACAATGGAATTTGTATGAAACGCATGAATAGTGAAATGTCAGACAATGGATTGAAGATTCGCAAATTAACGGTTACGATTTGGTTTTCTTATTTTACTGAGTAACTCTGTAATTTTCGTTAAATACAATTCGGTTGCCCTCACCTGTGTTCTCCTTCACTACAATACTGTTACCAAATCGAAGTTTTTCTGAACGATTAATACAGTATTTTAAGTACTGGTAGGGTAACGTGATCAAGTTGTCAAAAGTGTTAATTTATCAATGAAAGAAACAGAATAATACAGTATATTTAATTGAGTAACTTGTGAGGCATTGGCCCACCTACGGTAATGCCTAATGGTCGCATAATATCGTGGAGTGATTAACACTGTTCGAGTTGATTTGTTAGTCTAGAGGTTAGGCATTCACTGAAGGTACTGTATTCAATGCTTGCACAGAACGTTGTGTATACATACTAATGAGGAATCGTAAACCAAGACGAAACAGCCATACAATGCTTTCATGTTAACAGTAGTGATCTAACATTGATCGGTTCATGTATTTAATGTAACAGACAGAAAATGGAGTAGTATTCATAAGAAGTGAACTATTAATGGTCATTCTATCCCAACGAAAAGGTCATATTTTTTGAGAGAGATACGGAGATCATAATTTTTACACATTGGAATCATGAATCAATCAATGTTAGATCACCAATAGAAACCCACAAGTACTGACGGCCATTTCGCCCCGGTACGTGACTCATCAGCAGTGCACATTCACGACTTCTGTTACTCGCAGGAATCGATTCCAGGAACTGTGGTCTTTCACGCGAACGTCTAACCTCCGAACCACCGAGCCACCTGGCATGCAACAGTGTTGATGTCTAATTCTGATCACTCTAGGTGTAGGTACGCTTGAAGCTATTACGAGTTCACCTTAGTCGATTAACGCAAACGAGACAATTACCAGCGTCTAGATAGGCTACCTTGAATCTAAACGGTAAAACAGAAGTCTTGGTAAGCGTAGAAAGTATATTCTACAAACACCCAGCAATCATAGTACAATCAAGCAAACAACTCTCGTTTATTTATACAACATAGAAACGTCCTTGGGACAGTTAAGAAAATAGCACACTAAAATACACAGCAGCCAATCACAGCCACGGATTTTCGTGGTGGGAATTGAAATCTCAAGGTCAACTGATCGGCCCATGTTGGCAAACGTGAAAAGCAAAATAAGGCATTTATCAAGCGAATTTGGGGGATTTAACATCCCCAACACTAGGGATTCTGCACAACCTCACCCATTTTCGTTCCGCAGTTACTGCCTACACTCAATATGCTTGGACTCCTTTTGTCACGTCTTCTTACTAGAACTCCGAAAATAGATAATCTATATAGTTTTGTAGTTTATCGAAGCGAAAAAAACTATTTTGGAAAGAAAAGAACGTTGCGTAATTAGAACATTTTAAGCAGTTTACATCACTTATTTTGTAGGATGGTACCATTACGATTTAAGCTAATCATTACATGTTTATCTATTTCATAATTTTGTTTTCATTTTGAAAAATTTCAGAAATTTGACAAATCAGTACATTTCAATAAACAATCTTAAAGCGGGCAAAACAATTCAAACGATACATACAAAAGAACCACAACCGTCTTGCTCTTCACCAACAACATCATGTCAACAAATAATCAATGATACGAAAACTATGACAAATGTTAGTCAATTCAGCAGCAGCAGTAGTAGTGGTAGTAGTAATAGTAGATCAGGATTTCTACGTTATCCATTGCGTAAAGCAATGAGTTATGTAAAACCACAATCGGAATCATTTGTAACCACAAAATCCACTTCAAGAAGACTTCATCACACTTCTACATTTGAAAGACCAGATGATCCAAAATTCCGATCGACCAGTAAAAGTTCCAGTCGTAATTCACTTTATTTATCATCGAATATTAAACATTCCTCTGATTTATCAACTAAGGTAAGTTGGGAAAAATAAAATAAGCTATGCAGAAAATGTATGCAGTGTTTTTTTGGGAACGCCATATTGGTTAATGCCTCATTATAACATATTTTTTTTTGTGATGAGAAAATCAAAAATTTTGCGTTCTTATCAATTTCAAAAATGCCAAATGTTCATTCTATGTTCAATTTGAAGGGTGTATTTTATGTTTCTGTTAAATTTAATGTTTTTTTTTATGAAATCGGTTGAGAAACGCAGAAATATTTCAAATATTTCATTGGAGACATAAAGCGGTGTTCTTGTTAAAATTCTTTTTTTTAAAAAAGGTCAATAACACATTTTATTTATTAATTTTTTTAAGAAAATTCCAAATTATCAATCTGTTCAAATTTCAATCATTTCAAAAAAATTTGGCGCCAAATTTCACATTTATGAACATGAATGAGAATTGTTTAGTAAGACATATTGTTTTTAGATGGATCTACTTCAGGTGTCAAATAATAACTTTTAGTGATACGTAAGTGAAGCTATTCTTCTTTAAGCTACGTGGAAAAGTTGAATGTACTACTGATAAAGTCCATTGTGATGTTGGTCTGTATGATGTACTGGGTTATGAAACAGAAGTTGCCAACTAACAAAACACTCACTGTTTGTAGATTTTGAGTTGGCTCATTTTAAAGTTTTTGAAGTAAAGATATTTCATAAACATGAATGAGTGTGAGTCTTATTGGAAATATGGACTTTGCTCTAGTGATTACAACTTTCCGTGTTTTTAATGACGGGCCTTGTGTAAGTGTTTGTCGATTCCGCGTATTGTCTGTACTTACATACACTTGTAAGAAAACCACAGGTTTACTTGAGAAGTTTTCTGTCGTTCCATGTGCATCTATCAAGTATCCGTAACTTGTGATCCAACAATCGAATTAACAATTTAGCCTCATTTAATTTTACTATCATTATAGTATATGCGAAGGGTGGTACTGGAAACATTTGATTTTCAAGCCAAGCCGAGGTCGTGGCTGAGAATTTATCACTGATGAGTTATATACGAGGACGAAACAGCCATAATCCAGTGCTTCCAGGTTTCTAATGATTGATTCGTGATTTGAATGTGTCTAGACTGATCAGAGTTAGACATTATCACCTTTGGATACCGGCCCAGTGTTCCAGAGGTCGGTGGTTTGCGAACGAGATGGAAGATCCTGGGTTCAAATCCTGCTAGTCATGAATGCGAACTACTGATGAGTCCCATACGGCATTCTCGTGCTACCAGGGGATCTATCGAAGATTCATTCATGATTTCAATGTGTCTAACAGTCACCGAAAACTTCTAATTTGAAGTAATTTACAACACTCTTATATCTAAACTGACTTACAGTCAGTGAGTGAGTGTTAAACCGGAACTTGTTCGATCTGTTAAGATTTATATTAATAACACTGTTACCTAAATTACAGCAAATATTACAATGATCGATTTAATCTGAGAATATAATGAAGCGATTCAATTCAATTATTCAAACTGATAATTTTCATGTAAAAATTAATCTCTACATATTAAACATACAACTTTCATATGACATGTAATAACTGAATTCAATTCAACTAAGTTATTCTTAAATAAGTGTTTGTTTGTTAGCCCACAAATGATTGACATGTTGGTTTATTTATTATTGTAACAAGTGAAAATTAGTAAGAAAACAGATGATGAAGGAATTGGAAATTGAGGTCCTATTTGGAAATTTTGAATCGATCGATGTTGAACAACCATTACAGCCCTAAAAGCTCTGAAAGAAGTTCGTTTCATTCTGATATGAGACCCATCATCTTAGATGTGTGGTGAGTAAATTGACTGCGTGTTCTTAAGCTTCGTGATTAGCTCGTCTAGACTATCGTTACTAACTAGCGTCTGACGGTTTGTAAATCAGAATGTGAACTCAAAGTGTTGAATACGTTTATTTTGGCACACCACAAATTTGGGATAGTAGACCACAAGCAGACTGAGCAGGCACACTGGCAAGCGAATGTGCGAATGAAGCGGATTTACAGGCGAAGCGCGTTGGAGAAGGCTAATGAGTCAACTCGCCTCTCCTGTTCATTCGCTTCCTTCACCCGTTCGTTCGCATTGTAATCCCGAAAGTTGGCTCAACAGTCTTCTCCAGTTCACGTTGCTTCATTCTTTTTAATCACTGCTTCTCCGCTTCGCTTTGTGGTGTGTCTCGAATAAACGTATTCATCACTTCGAGTTCACCTTCTGATTTATAAATCGTTAGACGCTAGTTAGTACCGATTGTCTAGCTGAGCTAATTACTGAGCTTAAGAACATGCACTAAATCGACACACTACAGATGTACACTGTTACTAATCAGTCTCATACCACAACGAAATGTCTATCTCTCTGTGCTTCCACGTTCTGTAACAGTGTGGCCTAAAAATGATTCATTTATGATTTCAGTGTAAACAAAGTGAGTTTAACTCGATGTTGTTTGGATGATGAATGACAGAAGATGAAAGAAACACCTTTATGCTTATGAATATAAACCAATATTTTTATGAAAATACTGATCATTCTTAATAAGAACACACCTAGATATTACTGAATATGTAATTGATGGGAAGAAATGAGAAAGGTATGAGGTATGCTTAAAAATCTCTATACTACTGATATTCAATTTAAACTTAACTTAATAGACATTAGACATTAGCTTGAATTGATGTTAGAAATACTGTACGACTTACAAAACAAAACCTGTAAATATCGGTTTTAAAATATTTTTTTACAAAAATGCAAATTTCTAAATTGTATAGGATGTTTAATAGGAATTTTGATAGGATTCCTGTTGATCGAATTAAAAAAACAATTATCAATTGAAGTGTTTTGTCTGTTCATGTATTTGCCATCGTTGATAATTGCATAAACATAAGCGTTATATCAATAAATAGTTTTGCAGATCGTGGTTTTACATTAGAATTGTGAATAAATCATTGTTAGATCACCAATAGAAACCAAGACGCACTGGATGGTCGTTTTGTTCTCGTATTGTGGTGCGCGCTACTTATAAGTAGTATATGACGTGAGTGTAAACGTAATGTCTGGCAGCAGAAGATGGGGGAAGATCAAGAAAGGAAGAGTGGGAACACAATGGAATTTGTATGAAACGCATGAATAGTGAAATGTCAGACAATGGATTGATGATTGATCGATTGAATATTTGCAAATGAACGATTTACGATACGGTTTTCCTATTTTACTGAGGAACTGTGTAATTTTCGTTAAATACAATTCGGTTGCCCTCACGTGTGTTCTCCTTCACTACAGTATGAGACTTGTTGGGGATGTTAGATTCCCAGAACTCACTTGATAAATGTCTACATTTTGGATTTTATTCATGGGCTGATCACATCCCACCAGGACATTTCATGTCTGTGATTGGTTAATGTGTTATTTTAGTGTTCTATTTTTGTAAATCTCCCAAGGATGTTTCTGTGATGTAAAAATAAACGCGATTTAGGTGTTTCAGACGATTGTGCTTGCTGGGTGTTTTTAGAATATACTTTATACGCTATATCAAGACTTTTTGTTAGTCAACGATTCAGAATAGCCTACCGTGTCACTGGTTCATTGTTTAGTTCTCATTTATCGACTAAGGTGAACACGTAATAGTTTCAAGCACACCTAGTGACGAGCATATCAGGACTTATCAGCAACGCGCATCGATGACTTCCGTAACTCGCAGATTTCGAATCCATTACCTACGTTCTTGTGCAAGAATAAGGGGAATCATTAGATCGATCAGAGTTAGACATTGACACCGGTAAACGCCGACTCAGTGGTCCAGAAGCTAAGCATTCGCACACAAGACCGAAGGTTCTGGATTCGATTCCTGCAAGCGTAAGATATGGATGAATTTTACTTATGACATGGAATGTTAAGATCATTATTTCTTAATTTCAGATAAATTTTTAAAACATCAGAGAAAATATAAGTCAATTTTATTTAGAATAAAAATTGTAATTTTATAGAATACTGAGTTTCTACTTTTGGATATGTCGAAAATTAACGAAATGTTTACGTTTGAAATGATTCAGAAGGTTATAATCCCTAAATTATATTGAAATCTTTTTTTCGACCATCATTAGAAGCCTGACAGCACTGGACTGCCGTTTCGTTTTGGGTTTGAACTCTGCGACGTGCAGGATTCGTGGATGCGCACTGTTGAGGAGTCCCAAACTAAAGTACGAAACGGCCGTCTTTCAGTGCTTCCAGGTTTTCTAATGGTATGGTCTAACAATGATTGATTGATGGTTTGAATGAGGAAGTGTTGTTTACAGTGAAACGTAGTTAAAATCAGTACCGGTACTTATGTAAATTCATGATAGTCCGAAATCGATTGTCAACGTATATATGCATGAGTTTTTTCCTGAACAAAACATTGTTTTTCCCTAAGATTTCAATTTTTTATTCAAAATAAACTAAAATAATTATTCGTGAATTGAATATTGAATTTCTTTTATTTACCTGTTTGACAAAATAACAAATCCAGATCTATGCATCAACAAATGAATATTCACAATTGAACGATCATTCAAATCAATCAACCATACATGAAGTTTACACTGGGGAATCGTATGATTTAACTACCGTTAAACAAACTATCAAAACTGATGTTGAAAAGAAGACTAAACAAAAAGAGTAAGTAAATAATTCTGATTGTA